TTTTTTTGCTTTTGATTCCGTTGGTAATTGACAACAGATTTAATTCGTTGCTATTTAGCAATGGAAATTTCTGTTGCTAAGAATATTTCTTTCAAATTTTTCTTTTTCTTTTGATTTCGTTGTTAAAGAGCAAAGGAAATAATCTATTGCGATTCAGGAACGAAAATTTTCGTTGGTAACACTGTTTTTTTTTTTTAGGTTTTTGTCTTTTTATTTCGTTACCAATCTGTTGGTAAGAGTTTTTTTTTTTTNNNTTTTTTTTTTTTTTTTTGCTTTTGTTTCCGTTCATAAGTTATCAATAAAATTATTCCAATGATATTTAGCAACGGAAATCTATGTTGCTAATAGTATTTTTTTCTGGATTTGTTTTATTTAAAAATAAAAAATAAAAAAAAATTTTGATTCTGTTGTCAGTCCATTGCTAAATGGCAACAGAATTAGTATGTTGAAATTTTCGTTGTTTAGATTTATTTTTTGAGTTTTGACTGTTCTTTTTCTCTTTTGATTTTGTTGCTAATTCGATGGTTATAAATGTGAGTGATAGTTTAAGTTTTAAAGGCCACTACGAAAGACCGACGAGATCCACTCTCACAGCGTGTACGCGACATCCCTATGTAGTAACAATCCTTTCAAAAGCAGCTAGGACAACTAGCTAGCAAGTTATCTGTTCGAGGACAAGTTCTCTGGATGACAAAAAACATTCTCTTTCATGTGAAACGTCGTGAAAGTTGGTCGATTTGAAGTTTGAAGATGCTCGACTATAAAGATACAAACAAAGTGAAGCGAAGTAAAATCATAGAGGTTCAGAGAGCGAAGTGAGTCTCGACCATAGTACGAGAAGGAGGAGAGTCATTTTAGAAGTGAAGTTTATGAACAAAGTGAAGCAAAGTGAAGGAAATGAGAGGAAGAACCGAAGCAAAGTTCAGTAATAAAAGGTTTGGTTTGGGAGAGGTAACTGAGAGTAGTCCGCCTTCAGTCCGATAGTGGGAGTGGTGACAAGTAAGAAGCTTTCTTTGACGTGTTGTTTACTAGGAACCTTTTCAAAGTCAACCCAAGCGCGTATTTTTTGATAGGCGGATAAAGACCAGGTTCAGAATGGAGTCCACTAGGGGGATAAGGTCAATTACATCGATCATGAATCGAACCAGATCGAAAGATGTAGTTGTTGACGGGCGCAACTCTCGTGTTTAGTTGCCATCGTTGAATCTGGAACCCTGAACAGATTGTCGGTGATAAGCCGACATCTGTACCGAATTATTTCGGGTTAAAAAAATATCTTTCTAGTTGTTGGGGATAGACAGGGGCGTAGCCAGAAATATTTTCTACACTGGGCTGCTAGAACTAATTTGGTATGAAGTACAACTCAGTTCGACTCGTGAAAAGTCAATCTTGATTCACTCATATAGTAAAAAATGGAATGCAAATTTAATTCAAACGAGTGAAACTTAATTGATTACACTCGCTTTATTAAATGATCCAAGCCAAACCTGCTAATTTATTATACGAGCACAAGTTCAAACACGATGTATTCGACTCAATTTGGCTTCAACAATATCACTACTGTTTAAAAATTCAAGGTAGGATATTTTCTTAAATGTTTAATGTAAATTATAAAACGAATGAAAAACGAATTACTAAAAATATGTCATGTTGTTTTAGTAAATTAAAAACACCTCATGTTTTTTATGCGTATTATACAAAGATCGATTGCATATTACACAAACTTGTATTTTTTTTTTTTTTGATATAGTAATTTTTTATTCAAAATATAGTGCTTCTGCGTAATTTCTTCTTGCATCATTAAATTTGACGTGCAAAAATAATATAACTTATTTCAAATACTTAACGTTTTATTATTAGGCAGGCCAATCAACATATTTGTTATATGATATTTCATTTAAATTGTGGAAGTCAGTATGTTATTTAATTGAATAAGCAGGTTAACCCAACATACTTGTTATATGATATTTTACTTTAATAGTGAAATTCCAAATGTTGTTTCGTTGAATATGCTACGGAAATTAATGAATATAAATTATATATTTCACATGTTCAAATATCATTTCTTTAAAAGTTAACAAGTAATTGATATATTTCACATATAAGGTAATATAAATAATAAAAATTAATCGTTTCTTAAACCAAACATTAAAAAAGATAAACAAAGAAAAAAAAATGACAAAGTTAGCTTGTTATGTGTTTGTTAACAACGTTTATAATGTGGGTTAGAAAATATTTTAATATGAAGATGAACGTAAAGCATGCATCAACACGATAACAGTGGCCCCAGTCCGAGGTGAAACGAGGTAAAAATTGTCGGGGTTGTTTTGTATACATAGCTATAACAACAAAAAAATACATATGAAAAGTTTGGGCCATGTCAAGAAATATGTATAACTTCTTGGTTTAACATAAAATAAATTTAAATTAATACGGACTAAATAATTTTATCATGAATTATATTAACAAAACATGCGCTAAAATATTTTGTTACTACTACGTATTTGAATAAAACGAAAATTAAGATTGGGCTGGAGTCCGGGTGAGCCACCCTCTAGTTACGCCCTTGGGGGTAGACATGTCAAAACTGGTCGGCGGGTCGGGCCAGCCCGTAGCCCGCCAAAACCCGCCATTTGGCGAGGCGAGGCGGGCCTGTGAAATGGCAGCCCGATCCAACCCCGCTGCGGGCCGCGGACTAGGCGGGTCGGCCCACCCCATAATAGATTAAAAAAAAAATACTAAACTGAGAGTGGAGGGCTAGGAGCATTTTAAATTAACGTCGTGTCGGCTGCCGCTTGAGAAAATAATAGCTGAGGTTAACGACTTAGAGACTAATAGGGCTGTAAACGAGCCGAGCCGAGCTCGTGCTGTGTTTGAGCTCCAGCTCGAGCTTTTAGCGAGCCGAGCTGAGCTCGTCTCGTTAAGTAAACAAGCCAAAAATCGAGCTCGAGCTCGGCTCGTTAAGGCTTCAAGTTCGAGCCTTAACGAGTCGATCTCGAGTTTTAACGAGCCGAACTATAAAAAATTACATAAATTTCACTTTTCGAGCTTTAACGAGCCTTATCGAGCCGAGCCGAGCTCGGCTCGTTAACCAACCGAGCTTTAAATGAGCTCGAGCTCAGCTCGTTAAGGCTTCGAACTCGAGCCGAACCGAGCCTTAACGAGCCAAGCTCGAGCCGA